CGTGGCTTCCAAATATGTTTTACCTGCAAATGTTTGCATATAAACCTACCCCAACGGATTGTATTCAGAATAAAGTCAGATTTATTTGAATTCAATAACGGAAAAAATAGTACGAAGTACAATGTAAAACACTTCCATTACAATCTTACGTTAATACGTTAACTGTTAATTATTTATCATATAAGATTATTAATATAATATATTTATTTGTTTATTTTATTTATACGTTTACTGTTTTTAAAAATAAGTTGTAGCCTCAGTTTTATTACGTTTGTTTTTATTTTTTTCTTATTTAGTACATTCCAATCCGAATCCGAACAATGAGATTTGATCTGATGAAATAAGGTGCGAGCTATTTGATCCGTCTATGTTATATGATAAGTATACCAGTATAATAAATCCATTAGGGCTTATTGTATTCGCCATTCACTTGTAAGCATAGGCATGTACATAAATATATATATTGTTTTGTGTTGAACTAGGGCTAGTCATTATATCGTTTCTATACATACGCAATGTGTATTATATGAAATTATAATAATAATACATATAAGTAAATCACCGAGAAATTATTATATACGCATACATAGGAATCAAAATTAATAAAGAGAATTACGGTTCCATTTCTCATGCTAATATACATTGCACAACTGCTAAACTGGATGAACATGTAGAGAAATTCCCTTACAGGACGAACACATTATATGTAAATGTTGTAATGTGTAAGCCCCTCAACGGACTTGCGGGGATAAACTCTTATATTATATACGTACATGTTCACACAATAATTATTTATGTGTAAATTTACAAGTGTATAAATAATATATCCAGATTACACATTGTAAATTAAAAATATTGAATAATACATTTATTGAAATTAAAATAAACGCTAGGTATACATATTTAGGGTTTGATTTACGGTTAGGTATAGAGAACCTTGATATCAGCGGAGTAAACTAGTAAACCAACCATGTTCGTAGACAGTGTTGATGGAGCAGCTTCCATGGGTGATACATAAGTACAAGCTAAAATACATGAATTAAATCCATTGGCGTTCTATGCCTACTGATATGCTCATATACTATATTTACTATGTTTAATTGATCTCACAAAACGAGTAGCTCGTCTGAAAAATATTTTTTTCATCTTACAATCCTTACACAATTTTATCAAAACATTGTCTAAAAGTAATGTAATTTATGAATCTATGTGGTAAAACACATATAAGGTAAATTAACCAAAAAGATTAAAAATGTTATGTGAAACTCCGTACTCGGGGATATATTGGTAAAAAATGTCTAGGTTATACGCCATTTTTTACAAATGAAAACTTAAAATAATGTACCAATTACTCTTCACTTAATACGTACTTAGTAAATAACTTAGTTGCTTAGATATACAATATATTTTACTAATTTACTTCAAAATTAAATCTTTCACGTTGAATATGTGTAATCAAAGAAAATATATATATTTATACATAAAAGTATTTATATACTCTAACCTGAAATAATAATATAATTAATGTCTATTAGGAATCGTCCCTTACTAACCTACTGTATACTATGATATAACATGTAAACATATAACATAATACTTTATTTTGCATATTCGTATTTCTTTACATTTGTTATGATTATACAGTGTATTTCTGTTTATTTAAACTTTAATGAGATAAATGAAAAGCTAGGGCATATTTATATACGTATATATATGATCATGACACAAATTTAGGAACTGAAACCAAAAACTTGATGAATAATGTATTATATTTTGAATTTATATTTTTTTTGTGGTTTTTAAAAAATGTTTATGAACAAACTCACATTTTATCAAAATATTTGCAATTCCCAAATGTTCACTTTTCTACGGCGAATGATTTGTGTCAGATTACTAACTATTTGTTTAATAAAATGTTTAAGATTAGATGATGAGTTTGAATGTAAGTGGGATGAGGTTATAGAAATGCTTGATTACTATCAAACTGAGCAACCTAAAATAAAAAGATAAAACAATATTCCTCATAAGCAGGACTAGGATTTGTATGCAATAAAAAATTTTAAAATATGCATTTTATTTACCAAAATATGCAAAAATATGCATTTAAATTTTTATAAAGTAAAGACAAAAAGTTATATAGTTATATATAGTTATGAAAAAAATATTTATTCATTGAAATACATCAGTGGTTGGCCGTTTGTCTTATAATTGAGAAATAAAATGGAATAAAATAATTTAAAATACAATTTATGTTTGACAAAAAAAACAAGTTTTATACTTTAATTAGCAGGGCTAGAATTAAATACGAAATAATAATAACGAAATATACTATAAAACATTCATTTTTCGCATTCTTATAATCGAAATATCCAATAATATTAATTTTATTCGATATATACAATAATATGCATTTTATCCAAGATATGCAAAAAACATGCAAAATAAAAACACCTCCGTGTATCTCATCATGAGGTGATGAAAAAACATGCTGTTGAATACAAATCCTAGCTCTATTCATAAGTAATGTAAAGGTGAAACACAGCCGAATAGTATTCATGTTAAAGACAATTATAGTGTTACTGTGTACATTAAAGTTTTCGGTGTTATTATAAAATCGATTTGAAGAATATCAAATAAATATATTAAATGAATGATTGAATGAAATAATTTAGTCAGAAGAAACATTTAAAAATCTATTAAAATTATTTGTAACACATATCACTTTATTGTAAATGACTTATAGACAGACTTGGGTATTTTTAATATAATTTTCTATAAAAATATGGCAATAATTTACAATCTGATAAATTAAAATATCAAAAATAGAATGTATAAGACAGAAAAACATTCAAAAATAACTTCTATTACTAACAGAGTCATTAAAAATATTCCTAACGATACTGACTGATACAGAAAGTTGTGAAAAATCCTTTTCCCGTCGAAAGAGGTTCAAAACATACCTTAGAACGACAATATGGTAAGACAGATTTACTAGTTTAACTATTTTACAACTCATAAAAAGTGTAATATTAATTTGGACCAAGTGATTGATGAATTCGGTGTAACATTTGTCAAAAGAAAACATTATCTCAACTTAAAAAAGAAAAAAATTGTTGATTTTTTTTTTAACATTAATTATAACAAAAAAAGAGTTTACTGTTAAAATAATTACAATATATATGTGTGCAGGTATATTAATATAAATAGTTTATCAGGAAAGATTTTACAAAGGTTGAAGTATTAACGTGTTGGATATTATGGGTGAGAATATGTCTCTGTACCATCAAAAATTGATTTCAATTTACGCCTCTGCTTGCTATTATGTATCAAGGTTCTTTAACTAAATGTGTTCACTTTAATGGCTACTGCCACTGCTATTGGGGCTATTCATGTTGATGAGATGTGTATCCACATTTGATTCCTGGTTATTATTTTCTCGTTTCATGTTTTATAACTTATTTATTTTTATTTAATTAACATCGAACATTTAATGAACGAAAAACTTCACAATAGTTAATTGTGCTATGTTCAGAAACGTTTTACGAACGAAAACTTGGTCAGGTGTAATAAAACTGTAAGTACGCCTAAAGTAGTTTCCGTCGTTTACGATAATATTTCTCTGTATTATCACCACAACGGTAGTGTTGTAATTTAATTTTAACTGTACATTCGACGCGACTGCAAAATGCGTTCGTCCATAGGGTTTAAATGCTGCCTATTAATATCCATATGTACGCCGTACTTGTTTATGTACTGCCACAGCTCACTAATCACTATACGCAGCAATCATGTTGCAGGTGTTGCGAGAACTATCAACATGATTTATTATTAATACTGATATTTTACAAGAAAATAAATATTTGAATTCGCCCACAATAATAATAAAACGATTTATTATTGTGTGAATAAATCATCCGCTTATTACATGTGGACTGCAGTGGGCCACTGTGGTTTCTCGTTCTCTTCGTTTACAACCAACACGAATATATTCAAGACGACGGTGGTATATCCTATCTATATATATAAAAAAAAAAGTAAATATTATCTGAAACGACGATACATTACAACGATCGTCGAAAATATATTTGTTGACTTCACTCGGGCGTGCATATTTATAACTTATCCACATAAAGGTCACGTGCAGCGTGCAAAGTTATTCGACTAAAGAATACTTTTGTCCTATTTGAACAATTTTCGTTGGGTCGTGGCACGACAAATTTTACATGTACTCGTCATCCAGCGCAATCACAAGATAAATATATGCATATAATATTATGTATTGTTCATTGTGGCCATGAGATGTGAACACAGCGCACACGTATATACGAGTACATACGAGTATACGTATACAGGGTCGATTGAAATAGACATTTTTTCACATACGATATAGTGTATAATGGTATTTTTCTCAAATGATCCCGTAAACGCGAGCAACATTAGTGACACTGGCAGTTTAAGTACACAAGTAACAACGTGTATTTTAGTTAAAAAACGTGACACGTTATAGTACTAAGGATAAATAGCAATTGTTTTAACATTTTAAATTATCCTTTAACTGTTTTGAAACCGTATGAGACACATAATTATCTACGTATTATGTACAGTAGCCCAGTAGCATTTCCTTAATACCTTAACTCGTAATAATCTACAGTGATAGTACGAAGATGTATACGTATTAACGATTTTCTTGGCAAGAAAAAAAAATTTAGAATATACAACGAAAACAACAGTTGTAATGGCGTAACAGGGGTAGGATTATATATGTATATGCGTTTTGCCCGTGCATATTTTTTTTTAAAACGGAATTCCACAAAAAAAATTTATAAACACTAAAAAACAAGTCAAACAAGCCTAATTAACCGGATGACGTAAATGCGCGGTACAATACAAATAGTTACGCTTTGGTAGAAAAATAATAGCAATAATGATAACGATATAATAACAACTACTTATATTTATATTCATACAACAAGCGCAGTAACTTACTGTTCGTCAGAAACTCGACGTAGTGTAAACGTACGTCTACCACTCGAAGGTGGTATTGTGAAATCAACAAATTATTACTATGGTTAACGTAAATTTTCGTTCGCAAATTACTATTTTGTCCTTACACCGAGGCGTATGTTTATGTAAGTATAACATTAACAGTGCGCATTTATATATATAGAATTATAGGCAATATGTTGTCGTATACATAGTATTGCAATAATCGTAGCGATCTGCATACACGAGTATAATCGAACGTTATGTATGTTATTGACTCGACTTATGGTGAACAAACCACGGGGGTTTCTGGTGAGCATATGCAAAAATAATTATTGACTATCCCATATATGATGTGTGCGTGAACACATATCTGTACGGAGATCTGTATGTGCAGACACGTTGACAGGATTTTATTTTGGTGGAGGGGGTCAATTTTAGTACAATTTTTATACACGATTGATACGCATTGAAAGATTGTTATTCTCTTCAATTTTACCACCGAAATTAGTGACTTTTTATTAGTGAATCAGATAAATTTCATGGTTGTAATCGTGTATTGATATTGTGTTATGAATTTATTTTCTTTCAGTACATATTAAAAATTATTCAGCAAAATATAATAAATATAAGCGAATCTTTTTTTATTATTTTGTCTACTGCGGTATTGTTTATCCATTACAATTACGTGTACATTAAATCAATCAAAAAAAAAAAAAAATCATTTAATACGACTTTAATTGTTCACCATATAATTTAAACCATATACTTATATCTAAGGATTTGTATCATATACGTTATTAATGTAGAAAAGTATAATAAAATACACGAGCAAAACATTACTGCACATAGGAACCACTTCTCTTACGCTGTAATTACATTATATTTAATGACATTTTTATAGGTAATTGTAAGTTATTAAGATGAACAATTTTAAAGTTTTCTCATCCACTTCGGAATATAGTTCTAAAATTATAACTGCCACGAAACAACGTCACATTAAACACCAGTGTAGGTATATGGTCTTAAGAGTTTGAGTAGCGAAACGAGTTTTCGATCATAAACGATATAAGGTACATTTATGCGTACACGTATAAAAAAAATATATCTAACGTGAAATCGTAACCACACGTGACTGTGTTGAAACAATACATAACATATCTAAAATAGTTGCTGCAATACGCATACGTGCACGACGTCAACGTATTATTTGTACTACGTTGTACGGGTGCAATAGGAACGGTATAGTTCACCGAATTATTATAATAAGGGTTTGCCGCATGCGGCTGCGTACATACACGTCAGTGCAATAATAATAATACGAGTGTTCGTACACAGTGTACGAAAAAGGTGCGTGGGTACCCGTCTATTACATATTTTTTTTTAGAATTCTAAGTGTCCAAGTCCTGAGCGAATCAGGAAAAATTCGTCTGTGTACGCACGGCAGTGAACAGCGGGTAGTAGATTTAAAAACGAGGGTTCGGTCCGCGGTCGAAACCCGGTCCGTTGAGATTATCGATCCTGCAGTGCGCTGGATTTGATTATAATATTACGAGTCATTACCGGGTAGGTTTCTTGTTCGTTCGCTGTACACGCGGAACGTAAGGAGGTGATATTACTTTGGCTAGCCGACGTTCCAAGCGTTGTTCGTGTATGTCGAGTGGTATCCAATCAGCTAATAAGTTTGGTGCATTGCTTTTCGCCGCGCAATACAGGTCGCGGGCAAATCTGCGTTACCGTTGTAAATAAAATACAGCCACCGTTTATAATGTATCGAACGCGTAACGATGATCTTCCCAATGTCTGCATAGAATTACGATTTATTTTAAGCACACGACGTCGGCAACCGCTTTTGGACGGATGAAAACGGGATCATAATTATTGCAAGAGTATAATAATAATATCATAACTTTACGTCAAATGCGTTGTTTTAAAAACAGAACGGCTGTCAAATATTTGCCGACTCGCAAATGAAATCCGGAGGAGCAAACGCGCGCCGCCGAGCAAATACCCTTAACTTTATCGGTACACATCGAGCCCGGCGAGCAGTGAACCTCAGCAGTGACTGCAAAAAACTAAAGATGTACACATCAGAATTATATGGAAAAAGATGAACATATAATAACGAGTGCGCACATAGTTTATGTACAACGTACGTACTTACGGTGCACGCGATTCGTACGATCCGTTAAAATATTTACGGAACGGAGATGATGATGATAATAATAATAATATAATAATTATTCGGTCCGCCGCAAGACGTGTACAATCCACAATACGTAAATACGCGTATTACTGTATCTCGCGTTCAGCGCAACGCGTTTATCGTAAATGCTTTGTGATTTTATATATATATTTTTTTTTTACGGGCATGGAAAACGTAGGTGAACGTTTGATACATAAGACGATGCCCGTATTGACAGTTACACGTGTATTTTGTGCCCGGACAAGGGTAGCAAATTTACAACCGATCGATTTAGTACGGAGGTAATAATAATAGAGTCGTAAGCGTAGAACCTTAAAAAGTAAGCTGCTGCACCTACAACACGTGCGTGTGTATTCACTGTGTACAGCGTGTAAGCATAACGTTCATATGTATTTATATGCTTGATCGACAGTGGAGGTATTTTTGTAATATTCTTTATTACGTCGAGTGGACAAGGGATGATTTTTGATGTGATACGGTAAAATAATCTCTCCGAAAAAAAATAATGAGTTTTATAATAGTTGAATCTCTAAAAATTTCGTCTATCTATGTCTTATATTAATATTCTATGTATACTAGGCGAATAAAATGAAATAAAATGTTGGTATCGAATGTTGAAATCATCCGACGTGGAATTATGTGATATAAATCATTCGAACCAAATTACGTATGCGATTACGAGTATTTATTATTGTTTTAATTTTTGATTTACGATCGTTACGTTCATGTGATGGTTAAAATGAATTTGTGTACGGTACACCTTATTGAATGATCATTTTTAGATTAAGAAAACAAAACAAAAAAAAAAAAAAAAAAAAAGAATGATTAAATCTTTTGAACCGTAATCATAATAATATGTACAGTGTAAACTGCTGTAGTTTTATGTAGATACGTATCGAATATCAAACTCGTTTGCGTTTAAATTAATTTTTACAAACGACACATTTTGTACGAATCGTTTAATTCAGTATTTTGACATTTTACACGCGTAATGTTGTAACACGCGTGCATAGCTTATGAATACAAATATAGTGGTTCCGTTTACGCTATAACATTTTTTTTTCTTTTAATTTGTTATTCCGTGTGAACACGGGCTACACATGGCACGGGAATTATTTAAAAAAAAAAAAAAAAAATGTAATTTCGAAAATAGATCGACTGGAAACACGTAACGACTCGATGATATCTCAACGCGTGCGGGTACTAATTAACGTTTGATTCAGTAGTTCGTCCCATATCCACGCGTGCTAATTATTATTGTTTTATAACGAATGGCCACTCCGCGTGGAGTCAACCCTTAAAAACGTTACACATCGTTTTGAAAAATCATAGTAAAAATAATTTACCCGTGCACTGCTTGTTACGTACACCTGCGGTCTAAAAATTCGTTATTGAAACAATCATTACTCTTGTACATTGATAATTACCTTGCGTACGCCGTTTACGGTTTTATAAAATGTATATTTGTAAACACGTTGTGTTTACCTACCTATACAAAATCGCGTTTCGTACTTGCTTATAAAAATAAAAGCGGTCGCGCTTTCAACGCATAAAGCACTATAATTGTTATTATCAAAAGATCGGTGGTTTTACCGCTATATTATAAATGGTCTCTCTGTATACGTATCATCATCATGGTTTCTTATTATTGCTTTATTTAGCTTTTACTAAAAAAAAAACCACCGCGGTTGTAATGCAAACAAAAAACAATGCGCATATAAATGTATATGAATCGTAACACGAATATTTAACGGTTAAATTATGTAACATTTTTATCGTGCAAAATGTATGTAGTGACGAAGTACCGGGTCCAAACGGTGAAAACTAATTGGAATAAAAAACTGTAACTCGAAAGCTAAAATACGCCTGATTGCGAAAGACTTCTTATTATATTTTCTTTATATTTTCTTATTTACCATTTTTTCTATATCCGAAAGCAATACGCTTACTCATAGACAAAAAAATTACACAAAACGTAAAAAAATAATTACATAAAAAATACGAATAAAATTGAGTATAGTTATAAGTTTGTAACATGTGTACATTTTTGATTTTCTCAGATGTTTTATTAAATACTTAAAAAAAGGTTAAATTTATATGAAAAGCTAATCAAGTATTTTATTTCATTTTTTTTTTTTTTTTATTTAAGGAATTAGGCGTTAAATCTTTCCCTGTCTTGCGAAACGTTTCGAAATGCACATGATGGAAGACATGGCATGTAGTTTAACGATGACCAACATTCTGGACATTGCATGAATTAGTTATGTTCAGTGGCTTGAGATTTTTATGCAATGCTTTTTGCTAATCATACATGGTCATTATGTCACGCATTGTACAATTATTACTATATTTAATTATTTCCAGGCGTTGTTCTATTTATTTTGTTGCTTTATAAAAATGTTTTATGTCTTATATTTCATGCTTTTAAAACTGAGTCTACGGGAAATCATCTAAACACAGGTTATTAACGAATTCAAACTATTGTTATTTTTAAAGTATTAAATAAAAATAAATTTTACATTTAAAGTATACTTAAAATACAAGAAATAAACTTGTTCTCCAAGATTAAAACGATTAAATCGATTTTTAACGAGATCGTATCTTAAAACCTTTATAATCCGTGATATAATTAAACAAATTAAGTTAATAAAAAAATAATAATTTTCTAACCCTCAAAATGTACCTTTTAATATATTATCTGGCTGCATTGAGTATTTATTATGACTGATTTGCTTGTATATTAAACTTTTTTTAGTACAAATAACTTAAAATGTATAATTACTAAACCATCACAGTTTATAATATTCTACATCATAATATCAATAACTTTTTGATTACATTTTATGTTTATTTATTTAATAATATTTACAGGAAATTGTACATAAGTTAAATAATATCAACTCATGGATACAATATGATCAAGTATCATTTGTTGTTTCTATGATGCTTACAACACTAAATGAAAATTAAAGTATTGGCTATAAGGCTGGTATACTTCTAGACAAATTTCTTACAGAAGACTTGTTATTAAGTGATTCGTTTTTATTGGGGTAAATACAATAAGATACATTTTCTGTATATTACATTTTATTAATTATTATTTTATTTTTGTTTCATATTTTAGAATTAACAAAGCAATGGATGACTCAGAAATAAAGATAGAACTTCCAAGATTATCAGATTTATTATTTGACATCACTAGTAGAATTACATATCTTGTTATTGATTCAGATTAATATTGTTTAACTTGATTTATTCTGTTTTATATTGTATATTCTGATTAGTTTTTACTTGAATTATTTTTTTCAATAGATGATTTGTACAAGATTTATTTTTAAATTATTATACAACTTTTGTTGGTTTAAATGTGAAATAAATTATTATTATTAAATAATGCATAGTCATTACTGATCTTTAATTTTGCATTTCTTAAATACTTTTGGCAGAACGATCAAATATATTCAAGTGCTATACATAAATAATAAATGTAATTATTTAATTTACGTTTTTTATTTATCTTAAAAGTAATATTATTCAGGATCAAGGGGAATAATGGAAACGAAAACGGTAATAGTGTACATTTCACGGGTATACTAGCTGTTTAGAATTTATATGAGGCACTTTGCGTACAGTTTTCGAAATTCAGAAGGCTACTGAAGAAATAAGAAATGTTTCTCATTCGAGTAAATGTATTGGGGCCAAAGAGGGTATTTCTTTGTGAATGGCCGGGGAATTTCTACTACGTGTTTGATCAAAAAGTAAGTTTCATTGGGTCATGAGTCGAAAAGTACTATACAGTTCTTTAATAAGAAAATTATCATATCAAAAAAAGGCATAAAAATAAATTATTGTCCCGAACAATAGCCAAGACCAATTATTTTCCTACCTCTGTACAGGCTTGAAAATGTTCCTAAAGTCCGCCGTCCTAATACATTATCCGGGAACTCTCCTGTGTGATATTTTGCGAATACCGGTATGGGATCTTTAGCCGTTTTCATGGAGCCAATACGCGATAAGATCGTAAGGTGACGATAGTAAAGACCGTGCGTAACGAGGACGGTGCCCACACTTTCTGTTCGGGTTTCCGGAGAAGGTGACGTTTGCGCGAAGGGCCACGCAATTCTTTTCGGCAGTTTCCGTCCGTATCGTCGACCCTTAATCGCGTACGTCGTTTTTCCCATAGGGTCTCATCCCGGTACCGATGACCCAGTTTTTCATCGGAGCTTTTGACTTTAATACACACGCTTAAGCGTGTTTGTAAACAATTGTTGTACCCTCAACACATACTCGCAGTTGTGCTCAACGAACGCATTCCTGTAAAACTTCTTACGCGCGGGCTTCACGATAACGTTACAAGCTACACGCAACACGTCTGGTATTACATGTGCCCATCGCGTATCAAACATGAACGTGTACAGACCGGTATGCTACCGCGTTGAATCAGTGTACCGGTGCGTGATGTATTCGTGAGATCTACAGGTATGCGCACGTGCATGAATCTCGCGAAACACCATCGGACTTAGAGACGTGCAAAGTTTTGAACTATATTCTGTATACATAGGTGTGTTTACGGGCCGCGACTTTGTAAAACGTTATCATCCCGTGACGGAGGGTTTGTGTGGTTAAACAATAATAATCGTATTCGTATGCAAACATTACGGTAAGCAAAACTGTACGTACAAATTGTCGATACGGAGATGGTATGCTTATCCTACACGCAGCGGTACGTCCAGACCCTTTTATAGGCGCGTGGGTGGGGGGGAGTGAACTTCATACGTGTATTTACATTTATGTATTTTCCAAGTGTGGTGTAAATAATAAATAACGAAATGATGAAGAAAAAAAGGCCAAGGGGCCGATCGCTCCGTTCGCCCACCTCTATCTATGTGTATTATAATATATTTATAGGATATCGCCGCAATAGATTTTTTCGTGAGAAATGTCTTCGAAAAAGAAAATATATACACGATTTTGATACACTTTCTTACCCCCTGAACTATAATGCACTACGTATTAGAATACCATATTTTTCCGTCTGATAATATATTTGTTCACGGAGAAATAACGGCTATAGAGCATGAAAATATTAAAATTGTAAGACATTTGTAAACGCGTAGTCAGTGCACGTCGCGGAGATGGATGACGAATGTCCCGTATCATTTGTGGCTTGATGTTGATAATAGTAATATTTAAAATTTATTTCACTAATGTTTATTCATTGTTTAATTCTTATTCAGTGCAGTGCAAGAGGGCATGGGCCAGGAGTGCAGTTCTAAAATGGGTGCAAATTTCAACACTACTTATGTAATATTTTTCACGAAATATGAAAAATATGTAGTTAAAACAGTTTAATTTGATAATGTCATAGATAAATTTGCCTCTATAAGAAAAGTACCATTGTAATATTGTATTAAATAAATTTAAAATCATCTAACACAATTGTGAAACAAAAACATTCAAAGAAAATTATATGTTTATAATGTATTGATTGTTTATATTTTAAAGTAATACAAATAGTTATTAAAGTTTATTCGTAATTGTTACTTTGTATACTATGTTTTTATACATATTTATATGTCTTAAATGATTTTTTTATAAAAATTCAACTTTTAGTTTTGATAATCAATTTGCCACATAAACAAAAAAATCTTTTTCACTTTTTTCTGATAAAAAAATAAAGAAATATATGAATTTACATACTACATATTGAAAGTATTATGTATAATTGAAAAGTGTAAGGTTCCTTATTAACTTAAATAACAACTATATAAACATACTTTTTGTGTTTTCTAACTTAAGATCATAAGGAATTACATCATAGGGGTGTTTTTTACAGTGAAAGCCATTAGCAATTTATTGGAGAATTTGGTTTAAAACATCTTGAGGTGGAGTACTTTTGACAATAATTTTTTGTAAAATTACTAATCCTCACGGCGTATCCTACGTGGCGTCCTTTAAATACGTCCGATGCGATAATTCGTCGAGAAATAAAAACAAATATACATAAATTAATACAACTGTCCAAAGTGTGCGGCAAATGCGATAATCCGTTAACGGATGGATCGGACGTAAATTTGAAAAAACAAAATTATTTGTTTTTGCCGTATGCGATAATGCGTTTGATATTAAATCAACGAGTGCTAAAATATAATATTATACTATATTATTATAAATTGAGTATCTACTAGTGATGAACACAACTGACTGACGAGTGACGACTACGTACTACAAATAATCGACTTTTTATAACTATTATTAACACTATGCACTATTTATAATACAATAATATTTTATTATTGGATGGTTCGGTGTACGGACGTTTTTTCCGACCCACACACTAACTGTCGTTAACATACGACAGTAAAACTTACTAGAGTAATATACTCATAAATCGCCTGTGGTGGACTGACGAAAAATTATTATTAAATCGTATACATCGCAATATCGTATTGACGGACGCCACGTAGGACACGTATCAGATTATCGTATTAACGGATAAACGGATATATGCATCGGACGGATCGGACGCATCGCATTGACGGATGCTATTTAGGACACATCGTCATAGTTCTTTTCCATTATATTTTTTATCTCACTTGTAATAATATCAGAAGATCCATACAATGCTTCATTAAATTGTTTCAAATGTTTAAATCTCCTATTCAAAGAAGAAATTTCTTGGTCGAAAATTGGAAAAAAAAACTCGTTTATACAACTATTTTTACTAGTAGAATTAGAAGATGTACTAGAACTTTCATGATCAAAAATGTTTTTTCTTTTCATAATTTTGCTCAAAACTTTGTTAGTAAGAAACAATTCATCAGGGCTTGAAACCAGTTTCAAATCAATATTTAATACTCATAAATACCAATGAAAACAGATATCAAAATTAAAATTAAACCGTAAGCTAAAAATACGAGAACCTGTATTCGAAACTTATATGAAAATCAAAATAATTTGAAAATGATTTTCAAAACCGAAATCGGAAACAAAAATCTAAAATCGTGAAACCGATATTATTAAAAAGTGAGAATCGATATAATATTATGATGTGTATAATAGCTATATTTTATACCGCCATAAGTCATCGACGATTAACGATATTCATAACAATTTTCTTAGTAAATATATACTCACAACTTTGGTATAATAAACTTACGAAAATAAAACATGTTTGACAATGTGTATAGCTTAAAAATTATAGCACTAGTGCTGACTACCATATCTTTATGGTGGTTAATCGATTAACTGTTTCCTGGAAATAAAAGTATATACTTTAGCCATAAATGGACAAGAACCGACGTTGCATTTATAATTACCATGGATAATAAATAGAAACAAATTTAAAATCTAATGAATTAAATAATGTTTTTTTCAATACATTAGCATAGTATTCAATAATAAAATTAAGGATTTAAAATACCGTAAAATTACTCTTAAAATAAAAGTATTCGAAAAAGTATTCAATTACTTTTTTACGTATTGAACAACTACTTTTACTGATTTATACGATTTTACGTGAATATCTTTAATCTTTAACACTCATAAATTATAACAAAAATAATATAATAAAAATAATAAAAATATAATAAATAAATAATAATATAATAAAAATAATAAATACAACTAAAAATAAAATAAGTAGATATTCATATGTTTATGTTGTATGATTACGTCAATTTGAAGCATGCATTCAAAATAATGGAGGGACTTTCGAACAATTTATCAAGTAACTTTTGTTTGTGATTTTTGTAAATTGAATTGTAAATAAAAAATGTGTAGTAGAGTTTAAAATAATAAATTAAAATTAAAAAATAAATTTCAAAAAAAATTTTTTTTTTTTAAATTTTGAATAGCTCTCATTCAGTCAATATTGGATTGAGAGTAGTAGTTGTTGGATCAAAATTACTTGAAAAAAATCCATTAATCTGAAAATGATAATCAAAATAGGGGTTGCCATTTAAAAAAAGTGAAGTTGTGTTGCGCATGCGCAAAATACGTCAGTAAAAAAAATTGTAAGTCATCGAAATTAAAGATCCAATAGTTTAATTTAATGTCTCGAAAACAGAATTGAAAAATATATAAAGGGTAATTAGTGGTAAAGTGTAACCTGTTTCCGCGAACATACGGTGTAATATTTTATATCAGTGATGTTTTGATATAAATTAGAGATCAATCGATTCGTTAGAATTATAGCGATGCGCGG